GTAAAAAAGAATTCTTTGGCACATCTTAAAATAGAGGAAGGCGACTGATACAAGTTTGAATGAACATTTAAAAGTAAGAATGCACTGAATGAATAAAACACAAATTTTCGTTATTACAAATCAAGAAATATTTATGAATGCTAACAGAACATTCATCGGAGTTCGACTAGAGATCGAAATGATTTGCTCATGAAGTGTAACATATAATATTCACATACAATTCTAATGATAACATCTTTTCTATTTAGAGTAATACATAGATGTATTATAATATCAAGAATGTATTATATATCGATGAAAACATCGGATCACAGTTGCTCAGAAGTAATGACGAACAGTTAGATCTTTTTGTTGTCGTAATTAACGGGTATTTATAATTACCTTGACTGAGTTGAGCTAGAGCCGCAGCAGGCAGGGTAGTGGACACCGCTACTGGCGTGACGCCCGCCCCAGCGATTTTAACCTCCGCTCTTTGATTCGGGATTTGGACCATCGTGGAACCGGACGTGACGGTTGTGGTAGCGGTGACAATAGCGCTGGTGACGGTTGTAGTAGTTGTAACAGCAGATAGCTGTGAGAATTCTGATACTGATGACAGTGGCGTAGTCAGATCCTCATCATCATCATCCGGGTCGAGTCGATGCTGACGCAGGAAGTGCACGAACTGCGGCGTCGGAGATCGTTTCCGCCAGGTATAATAATCCATCATGTTGCCGCCGGCGTGCAGAAAGAACAGTTCTGATGCATTTTCCGCATACTTTTCACGTACACTGCGCATCCGCCGCATCTTGTACTCCATTATTCGTCTGCGACAGTCGCTGGCATCAAATGAAATCGGTTTCTCTGTCGTTTCCGACAATTTCAGCCGTTTTCGTGCTGGTGAAGGCGATTGCACCTGCACTTGCGGCGATGATACCTGTGATGATGACGACATCGGTGCCACAAACACATTGCTTATGGAAGTGCGTACAAGTTTCGGCGACGTTGTCAGCATAAGCTTAGTTGAGTTCTGTGGGCGTGACACCGTCGGAGGCGACGTGCCGACAATTCCGACAGCATTGCGCGGTGGCGTACCTGCGATGTTGACGATCCTTGTAACTTGTTGCGTTCCGCTCGCATTAGTAGTGGCATTATTCGGTATGACCTGCAAGTAAAGGTTCATAAGTGTTAATCACATAAATAAAGAAAAGTACGCTGTACTTAATTATGTGGAAAAATGGATCTTGAAATAAAATGAGTTAGTTTTAATATAGCTTATAATGTGTGTAACAAATGCTATGATAATCACAAATGGATAGTTAACAAAAATTAATAAATAAAAAATGGATAATTTTTTTTAGCTATAAAATATTAAAGATATAAAATGTGTTCACATAAAGCACCTTTAATTTCCTATTTTTTGTGTTTTAAATTATCTGTAAAATAGTTCAATTTTATGGTTACAATTTTCTCCTCTATAAGTTAAATTGATAATTTTAATAATATAAATTAATAATTTATATTATGTAAATTTTATATTATATATGTGATATACAGGCAATGAGAGCACAATAAACTAAGTAAATTTTATATATATCATATTTAAAACTTATATCTTAAACTGTATATATATTATATATTAAAATTTTCTTTCAATTTTTATTTGAAAAGTTACTTATGTTAAGAGTCATTAAATACATTAACTTTTTTTTCTTTCTAGACATGAATCTAATTTCGAATCTAAATTTGAATTTAGATCCGGATGCAAATTTAGATCCGCGGATCCGAATAATTCAGATATTCATATTACCCGAATAATACGGTTTTAAGTTCTCAGATTGAAACTGATTTCGGATATCCAAATACTTAGAAGTTCTAGTAGATATTTACCTGTGTGAGACCAGGAACCTGAGTCGTAATAACAAACTGTTGCCCACTGGTAGTAGCGAGCACATTGAGGCTTTGAGCGGTAGCGAGAACTTGCTGCAGACTGACAGTCTGTTGAGCTGAACTTCCGTTATTTCCGCCATTATTAGTTGCACCCCGACTAAGGGGTGGTAAAAGAGGTGCACCCTGTTTATCACTCATTGCACGTTACACTGAAAAAATAGAGTCGCATTGTATTATAGTAATTCACAATGACATGTAGTATTGCATAAAAATTCATATCTTATCACACAAGATGTAAAAACAGAAAGTTTTTAAAGAAACTGAATTTCTTCTCAATAACAAAAAATGAATTTATTTCAAGAAAACATATTTTTGTATATTGATTCATATAAATATTCGATTATTGTATTTTAATTTAGAAACATGCAAGCGTATTTCAGTTTTTTAGTGAAAAATTAAGTTTTATTTATCCTTTAATTCTTTTGATGAATTAATTTATTATGATATATTTTAAAGCTTAACAATTAAAAAATTATATTAAGTAAACTAAAGGGTTATTAATTTTATTAATAAAATAAGAACAAAAATTAGAAAAGTACTAATAATGTAAAAAATCAAGTATCTTAAAAAAATATATAATAGATATATAATATAAATATACATAAAATAAGTATTTTCAACCAAATTATATAAATATAAAACATTACAGAAAAAATGATGTATGCAATACTGAGAATAATGTATTCTCATTGTTATATATAAATAAACATATATATTTAAAAAATAATTATTGAAGTTAGGCCATTTATAATTGATACATATATAGATTCGTTTTTAAATATGTAGAATTGCATACAACGTTTACTTAATTAATATAAATTATAAATTAGCAAAAAAAAAAACCAATGAAAGTAAACATAAAAAAATATTTGTATAAACACAAAAAATAAAATTCCAGAAATTTTTAACGAACTCAGTTCAATATCAACTTAAATTCTTTTGAAAATACACAGAGCACCTACAAAATAGCCGCGCAATTTAATTGTAAATTATCAAAGAAAACAACAAAGATGAAGAAAAGTTTCAAACGATATATAAAGAAGTGATAGCAATTACCTACTAGATACGTTTGTTCATTCTAAGAAAATGTTGATCGTTTATAAGCATTAATTAAGGGTCAGTGCAAAGAAAAGAACGAATTTGAAAAAGGCGTTTCTCGTATAATTTGCGTTAAAAAAAAAAAAGAGCAGATACATTTCGCGGCCGAATACATTTGCGAAATTTGAAATATACGCGACGACATGATATCACCGAGAAATCGTAGAGACAGTCAGACGACGAGAAATGTCATAGAGACTATCGTGAACCGGCAAACCGAGACAGCCCGAAGATCCGAGGGGCTACCTGAGAGCGTCGTACGTTCGTGCGTGCATCGAGGGAGCGATGTGCTATATCGAGGCGAGCGCTAGTGACGAAATACATCGCGAACGCGAGACGAGCCATACGCGAGGCGACGGTTTGCGCGTCTGATATCGCGGGCGTCGTAGGGGCGCCGTACGAGGAAACGACCTCGCCGACGACGCTTCGAGCCGATGACGGGTGAGGAAGTCGCGCGGCGCGGCGTGATACAAAGGAAATCTTCCGTCCGCCATGTTGGCGTTGGCCCCGAGACGGACCAGGACTTACCATAATGTAATCACAAATTACCGCGACGTAGGTGCGCCATCCACGGGAATGATCGTCACGCCCGTGTTCTGCGTGGGTCAACTCGTAATTGGGTACCTCACGTAACATACGGCGCATGAGCTATATCTAATATTTTACGATACATCGTCACACCGCACGCCCAAGGACGCGTACGCACTTCTAAACATGGCGACGGCTGCGAGAAGAGTTTCGGCCCGCGGCCGAAACGAGCCAATCTCAGAGTATTTACACCAGTCGCGCAGAGATGGCGCTGTGCCTCCCCCCCTCCGATTGGCCGGCTGCAGCCGTTGCGCGCGGCAACGTGGCATCGATGGAGTTGTGTAATTGGTCGGCCCGCTCGTACGTTCGACATGCGGCTGAAATGTGCTAACTCACATCCCCGGGTCTGTTCGTTTTTTAATCGCACTCCCTGCACTCCGTGCTATACGCGCGACGCTAAATATGGGTATTCAATTTCGAGCTCTTTCTCGTCTGAGGATGAAAAATGCCCGTAGACTGTTACCTTTGATGATTCTACGTATACATGTAATTATTCGTACTTTAATTTTATTCCACTTTTTTGTTGATTATAATTATCTATAATTATATGATTAATTATCTACAGGGGTAGCCGAAAAAAGAATTCAAATGAACACGTGATTTTGTACAATTGGCGGGTAATGTGAAGTACGAATAAGAACTTTAGTTTCTGTCTCTTCTTTTCGAGTTTTGAAAAAATTTTGCTTCAATTTTCAAAAAACAAAAATAAACATTTATAGAACATTCGCAGTTAATTAGTGTCATTTTTTTTTTTTTTACTGAACTTACTTCGTAATGTCGTGTCTATTAAAATTTTTACCGTTTTATTGATTTCCTACCTCTTGGACCTACCAAATTCTATCTTTATCTTAACATTTTTTAAGATACGAGAAATTCAAATATCTCATTACGGCTGCACTTTTTGCACCTTGTTCTCTTGCTTTCTTCTCTTTCAAAGTGTTCAAGATTCGTTTTATAAACAAAGAAAACACCGGAAAATGCAAAAGAAGCACTTTTTATATCTTCCTGGCTCGAAACAAAGCGATATATATATATATATATATATTTAAGTTCGAGAGAAAAAGGGTAGAAGAACGTTTGATAAGAAGAAAACAGGAAATTCGAAAGCACGAAGTAATCCGGAAACGAACAGCAAGGACTGTGCACTGATTCGAAGTACATGCCACGTGGCACGGCCGATTCCGATTTCCGACTCGCTAAAAGGTAAAATGTAAATTCCGATCCCGATGTATGCAAACGTCGTACTTACCCGTGCATCGATCCTCTCCCGAATCACTCCATCCTCGTCGGTGCCGCGTGCTGCCGTGTCGGGGTCTCGCGTTGCCGGGGCCGACGAGTGCGGGCGGTGCGCCGTTCGATCGTCGATTCGTGCGCGCACGTGTGTCCCTTGCGTGCGAACGCGTGCCGCCGCCAGCGAGCGGCATTTCCGCGTGCGGGAGCCTCAATCGTCATCTCGGCCAATTTCCTTGAGGAGCACGAGGTAGGACTCGCGAACTCGGTAGAATTCGGTGAATATGGATCCCGGTCGGCGCCGGGAGTGCCGGGACGTGTGTGACACGTCCGGCAGGGTGAGACGATTGACGCCACTGGACGCGCTGCGCGGCGCTTCGCTTCGATTGGTGCATATTGGTAGCACCGCACCGGGCCGCTCGATATCGCCGGAAGAACGCTTAAAAATGCGTAACACGTGGACGCGCGCGAGATAACGCTTTTTGAACATTTATGCGCAATGAAAATCCAAATTTTTATTTCAATTGAACCCGACGTGAATTTATGTGCCTGCTGGAATATATGATATATTTCTTTGATAAGTGTCTAAATTTGTTGTGCACCTAATATATTATGTAAGACACAATAATCACGTGTATTTACACTTAGAACGTCTTTATATATATGTGAGTATACATTATTATTATATATATTCATACATACATATGTATGTTCCGCGTTCTGAAATTAGCTGCTTTTGTGTTGGTCATGTCATGTCTATTTAATTTTTGTGCTCTATGCCGATTAAAAAAATTTTTTTATTAGAAAATATATTTTTGATATTCTTTTATAATAATTATCTCATATTAGCTTCTCTTTTTTTTAATTATTTTCTTATGTTTAAGTTTTTATTTAAGTGCTGAACATTTGAAAATCATGTAAGTCAACCTTTTGCAACGTGGTTTTTTTGCTACAAGCGAAATTTCACTCTTTTTCTTGTTTTTACTCAAATTTCAATTTAAAGGCTTTAACATATTTGAGTTAAAAAATTATTATTAATTTAATAGAGATGAAAATTAATCTATATAATTTTTTCACATTTTTTGAGAGCTTAAAACAATAAAAAAAACTAAACAGAAAAAACAAATTATACAGAAGGATTAAAAATATGACTGCAAATAAAGTTAAATGTATATATTTTGGGAAGATGTTTTTTATGTTTTTATCTCTTTCTAACTTTGCAGCAGAAAGTTGTAAAATCGAGTGTAATTTTACCAAAAATAATTGTAACGATGTAAGATGTTCCCAAGAACAGGCAAATGAAAGTCGGCTCGGTTGTTATTGTAATATCGTCTCACCCTGCCGGCGTGTCACACACGTTCCGGCACTCCCGGCGCCGACCGGGATCCGTATTCACCGAATTCTACCGAGTGTAATTTTACCAAAAATAATTGTAACATTATATATTTATATGAATATATATATATATATATAT